GTTTGATGTCACGCCCCCCTTTCGACCCCCTCGCATGCTCCGAGCTCTGTGTGACGGGTTGACGGCACAGAATTAACTAATTCTAGTGTAGTGGCTCATTTAGCGGGGCATATGCGGGCGACGGCCGCGGCCCGCAACATACATACGCCACGTTTGACGTCCTACTTTATTTTGGATCATTTATTTATTGTAACTGTAAAATTTTAATGTTAGATTAATGTAGAAGTATTTTTAAATAAAGGATAAGGGACGACTGCCTTGTATCAGTAATTAAGGAATAAAGTTTATTTATTTTCCCAACGTTGAGTCTTTTTCGTCTTGCATTTTCTCACACATGGTCAAAATACAAGTTCATGGTACATAGATTGTAATACTACCATCAACCTCGTGGTAGGAACATTCAAATTGTGCAATGCCTACCTGTACCCTCGACTTTCCGTGTATACTGTCTTTGTGAATGTAGACACAAGTTATGTTCGAGTCAGTCATGTGCCTCCTATGAAAATAGTTCACATAATCCGCTGACAGTTGTAATGTAAGAGAAATATATCAATGTGATATTATATAAATTCTTTAGGGAGATCGCTGTGCTGTGGTAGTGTAGTCTGATATACCAGAAATAAGTAACGTACATTAAGGCAGCGCGGCCACCAACGTATACCTTGTAATCAATTATCAACTTGATAAAAACGGACTTAAAAAAATGAACCTATAGCTGCGAATAAGGTAGGTTTTGAGTATTAAAGTACCAGGGAATTTCTGTATGTAACTATCCCGTAACAATAGCTCTTCCAGTAACCACTGACCTGATAAATAGTCCGTGAAGCTGGACTTATACAATGCATTAGCGGTTGCCCGCATCTCTGCACGCGTGGTGTCATGTTTCTTCTTTAAGTTGAATCCTTTCTTATGCTTTCGTATTAAAATGAACCTATGCTATTTTTAGCTTTCAGTTAATAGTAAGTCAGGATAAACTATTTTATAAGTATAGATTAGTTTCACCAGCATACGTTGTTTTATCCTATCGCCAACTGTAAGATCCATTTTTTCTTACAAAAGCACAGAGATACAAAATTTCATTAAAATTGGTTGAGCGGTTTTGGAGATTGGCGTGAATGAACGTTGTAACACGGGATTTTTATAAGTTGCGTTTGCACTTCTGTGACTGTTTTAGACACAAAAAGAAAATTTTTACATAAAATTGTGTCAAGTTTTAATTACTATCCACATATTCAGTTGATAAACATAATTTAAAAGTGAATGATCGTCGCCTGTATACCTAAACAGCAGTATGGACCATGTCGTACCACATGGTACTTGCCATACAATACTGTTCCTGAGCACAGATGTGTTGAGCATCATTCCTGTAGACCGTGTTCCACGAGCATAGAACATCACTATACCGTTCAAGTGACGAAGTAAACTACCCTAATCCATAAACACTAAAGTCCTATACAAATCTTCCGGTTGATAGCCGTCCCTCCCTGATGCTATATTCAGCGTATATTTTATAGGAACGTCAAATGCGACGTGGGAGCAGACGGGACATCACATTACCGCCACTATACACGTAACGAGGCATCTTAAAACGTCCCTCCCCGCTGAGACGCCGCGGAGTACAAACGTAACAAACAGCTCCCAGCGCAATTCCATAGGGGATAATAAAACTTTACTCACCACTAAACCCCTTATCACTGTGCACTGTTTAATGCCGATTTTTATCGGTGCTTGTTCGTTTTATTCGAGTTCTACGGACGGAGTGAGCGCGTGAACACCTCACTCGATCCGCTAATATGTACTTCTATTATTTGACGCTAGTGACGGTGGACATAGTTGATGCTTTAATATTAAGGTAAGGTGTTTTGACAGATGACGTTTGGACGCCATTACCAACCAGTGCCGCCAACCTGAAAAACTTAACTCTTAAAAAATCACCCGTTATATTAGCCAATAGTCGTGTAGGTTCCGGCATAGAATAGGTCACACCTTTCTTTCCCGTGTGTGTTGTAATAGAGGACTAAAGGAGGGCGAGGGATGGGCAACAGCATCCCACTTAAAACATTATCCAAAGCTAAATTACATACAATGTTATTTATGATATATATATATATATATATATATATATATATATATATATATTTATCTGTATTCGTGTTCCACATTACTAGACTATATACATTTTGTTGTAATTGCAGTCGCTGTTATACTACGAGATAAAGTCATGTAACGTTATTCTACGAGATAAAGTCATGTAAATTAACGTACTTTCATTCTCTATTCCTATCTAAATATATCTGTGAGCATAACTGTCTTTATACGTTTCAATTAATATTAATTTGATGTCTGAAGGTTTATGGAGAGACGCATAAATATTTAATGTAGAGGAGACGATTACAGTTTATACGAGCAGCTTAGGAACAAGCTTGAACTGCTTCTATTAATCAGAAGGGAAATCTAAAAATTGTTAGAATTAAATCCTGTTTGTGAAACATTTATTGGGATATATTAAGCGAAATAAGACGGAGCTTTAATTATGTAAATAGAACTAAATAATTACACGTTACAGGAACTAGGGTAGCCATAATTATTTTCCTGGGAATGAATAATTATGGGGAAATTAAATGTACAAAAATACGCTCACAATTACGCGACTTTAATGAAAGGCATTTGTCATTAATTGCAATTACAGCGAACGTAACAATTGACGTGGCCATATTTCGCTGAATTATTGTATTAGTACAGTCTATTGGCATCAATTAAATAATAATACAGCACATCCTACTGCCGTCACTTCATCATCATCTCAGCCACTATCAGTTCACTGCTGAACATACGCCGACCATAGACTGCCCTAAGGAACGGTCCTGAGTCACCTGCAATCACGTGAACGTTTACCCGTATGGGGTCTTCCCTATCGGTTCTTCAGTCTATGTGACCATAGCCACTTCAGCTTGACTTATCCTTCGGGCTATGTCGGTTACTTTGGTTTCTCCTCATTTCAGATTCACGTCATCACTTCGATCGGTCTTAAATTATCTATCTATATCTACGTAAGTTTTTGTGCGGGCACGCGATTATATACGAGGTTTCATAGACGGACGCTGCAAGAAGGTAACCAGATTCGTAGTTGTTTCCGTCAGAAACGCCACCTTTTCTGAGAATGTTTACTTTAACATGACGCAAGTACAATGTACAAATAATTTTACCCAGAGGGAGACTTTGTACAAAAGTCGATTGCTTGGGTACCTCTGTCCCATTCGTGTTTCAACCGTGAAGCAGTTGTGTTTGTATGGCTGTGTTTCGGTTTGAAGGGTAGGATATGGCGTGAATTTACTGGGTACAGAGGAATAACATCTGAGTCCTCAGGAATGGCAACGCATGGGGGTATCATGGGCGAAACAGTATACTCTGTTATGTCCATGGTACTGCTCATGTCTATAGGCGACGGTTACCACTTTCCATCAGGTGGGCCGTCAGCTTCATTGCCATTCTAAGTTGTATAAAAAAAATATACCAGAATTAGTGAACAAGTTAAAAGTTACCATTTTCATCTAGTTTTGTTAAGTGATTTGCAGGCTGATGAAAACCTTACGCTCTCTCTGATTAGTCAACGTTTACTGTAAGAGTAATTTATAGACGCTTAACAACTACAGCCATTGCACGCGCATTGCTTATCTTTAGTCCTATTTTTAAGAAAGAAAAACATCAGCAGGTTATTCCATAAGCTGATTATCCTCAGGAGAAAGCATCTTTGAATCCTTATTACAATAAGCCAATATAATTATGCCAATTTTATGATCTTCAAGTTATAACCAAAAAATATTTAGAAGCACGACCACACCTGAATCAATTTAGAAGAGTTTGTTACGGGTGCAAACCCCTTCCAAACCATACTACAACATACCAATACATATTGCACAATAGCTATTCCCACGCACAAATTTCCAGAAAGAATGATAAAAGGGAATACCATAGGGTAGTGAGAGGCCAGTATGTTTTAAGTCGCGAACGTACGGTGTATATTTTAGGAATCAATCACGATTCATAGATATAACTAATATTATATAATTACTAATTTTAAATAAAGACTCTGTGTTAAATTATATTAAACGACATTGTGAACTTAAATAGTATGCGTTTTTAAAAAAACCTATCACCGACCGTCAGAACGTAATTAGCTTGTTTCCTGTATTGATAATCTGGAAATACTGTACTACTGTATTAATAATGCCATAAAGATACATACAATGTTCGTGACAAATTGCATCAATAAATGCAAAAAAAAAACTTCAAATAAGCGCAAGATAAACGGAACAATTATTTTTTCCCAGCAAAGCATTCTATAAAACTAATTCACGCCCCACGAATACTAAGAAGGAATTTCTGTCGTAAATGAGAAGAATATTACTACGCTGGCCTGGCAACTTGGTAAAAGTACTTTTTTAAATTTCTTGCTAAGTGTATTGCTTTCTTTGTAAGTCTACTGTGATTGTTACCCGTAGTTGTCTTTTACGATATCCTTGAGGTGTATAGGTGTGATGATATTAGCGACTCTTACTCAGTCACTAGCTAGATAGCTGTATGCTGATATAGCAGCTCGAGTGCTGCGGTCGCACGACCCGTGCCAACAACAAAACGAGCTGAAGCAGACCTGGCGGGAGCTGCTAGAGCGATCATTGGCAACACTTAGGTGGGCTGTGATGCGGTGTAAAAACCAAATCCTAGCCAATAACTCTCTAGACGAGAAGAACCGCGTGCGTCGTAAACTCAGCCAGTTTCTGATGAATGAGGTGGAGAGAACAAGGTCTTTCCAACTGGACATGCTGTGTGATAACTTTCAGTTATGCTACAATGAGCTGGTTCAAGTTAAATATCTTTCGACTTTCAATCAGAAGAAAAGTAACTTTTATTTTTTGTTTATTTATTTTAATACTTATCATCCAATTATCACATTTGTATGTACGTTTTCTAAAACAAAGGTGTTCGATTGAAAAACATGCTACAAATTTGTACAATTATTTATTTTCTAAAATAATTTACTGAATATGAATAAATTAATTACCGAATTGTCAGTGTAGTCTCTCAGTGGAATCCAATTTATCATAATGAGTGTGACTGGGGTTCATTTACATTTTATGTGTGAAATTGCTTAAATAATAATAAATATATAATCCAAACTTAATGGACATCAGCGTCCCTCTTAGAACATTCTTAAAATCTTAAAACCAAGGTCTAACTGTGGTTGCCAATCCACCTGCAAAGCGTGCCAACTACTGACAATACTCCCCTCATGGGGAGAGAGGTCTATGACCAGCAGTGGACAGTTAACGGCTGATCCCAATCCCAAAATAATTAAATATTTATAAATACAATTTTTTTTAATTACTTAATTTAAAAATAATAGCATGGCCGTAGCTTGAGGAAGGCATTAAGAGGCAATGCTCTACCTTAAAATTAAAAGTCCCAAGAAAATTAGACAGATTCGCTTTAATCAATTATGACTTATGCCCTACCAAAAAGTTTTTTGCCCTACATTAAACATGGGTCTAGCTACGGCCCTGAATAACAAGCTATCGATTAATATATGTAAATTAAATCGTCAGGAATACTGATCGAGGAAGTGTTGATGAAACTTGGCGATAGAGTGGAGCATGTGTTGGAACTCGTCTGGGGAATGCATTATCGTGGTGCGGAAGTGAAAGGAGCCCGGCAACTGACCGAATCCTGACCCTAGCACCACGCAGATACCTGCAACATAAACGAAGTCAGTTATCTGATATACTGGTCTATATATTCTAATGATAATTAAATCAACTTTTTTCAAATATACTTATTTACAAGCACTTTTAAATCGTAATTTTTTATGTATGCAGGGTTCAAATAGTTCTTATCGGTTGGGTAAAAACTCAACAGTTATTTTTTAAAATCTCTGTTAACATTATGTGTATAATTAAACGTAATATGTTTCAAAATTATACGGTCGTTAAAAGCCCATGCATGATCGACTAACACCATGCACATTTTTTATTCAAATAATCGTTAAGTGTGTAATAAATAGGCGTTATTCAATAAGTATTTTTAACCACAGTTTTAAATTTATTAAAAGGTATATCCAAAATATCCTTCAGTATCTTTTTTTTTATTTATTTAATTAGCATGCATAAATACATTAAAAAAAACTGAAATTTTTGGTATTACTTAAACCTCTTGGGCTTGTCTTATTATGAATATTTAATGTCCATTCCCATAAAATACCTAATATTTTTTTCTGAAAGATACTTTGAAACAGCAAGTTTGAATTTGTATCTAATGTTAAAATTATTAATGACCTTTTTAAGAAATAGTTGAAGAATAACAGAAGCTGACGGTTCACCTGATGGAAAGTGGTAACCGTCACTTATGGCTAGAACCATAGTCAATTGCATAAGGTATCACACATCCATGGTGCTGTAAAAGAAATTGATTTGACTAGAGCTTTATAAAGAAGTGCATATACAACAAGTTTTATTACAAAAACTATTTGAAGAGCGCTGAAGACCTATCCTTACACACATATCTCGCTTCATAAAAATTCTGAAATGTTTTGTCAACTATAATAAGTCAATCTAGACCCCTTCCGGCACCATATCTGTCAATTTGTTTTTTCTCGCATTTAAATCTGTTTAGTCACCGTTACATCTATTATTCTTTCCACATGCTCGAACAATAATTAATTTTATAAATAACTCAATCAGAGATCTATAGGTTAATATAAAATAAAAAATTATACAAACCGGAACGCGGACGCACTGCGAACATAAACATTTTTAATATTCACCGAGTTTATGTCGGAGCGGCGGAGGGCCCGCGCCGACTTGAGAATTTATCCCACTTCCCCAGTTGTTGGCCCTCGATAAATAAATGGAGTAAACTCCCCCTGGACCCCTTTCAGCCACCCCGCCGATATCGCGGCTGTATCTCTTGCATATATTTCATATCACTGAATATAATCGTCTAATGTATCAACAAATCGCTATTCCTTATAATAATATTTACATAAACAAAATAACAAAGCGAGAGACGACGTATGTAAGGCTACATACACGCGGTGCTCTCAACCGCCGTGCCGTGCTGTGGTTACATTTTTTTTATACAACTTAGAATGGCAAACAAGCTGACAGTCCACCTGATGGAAAGTGGTAACCGTCGCCTATAGACATGAGCAGTACCATGGACATAACAGAGTATACTGTTTCTTTTGCCCATGATACTATATCTTAAATAATAAAATAATATTAAATTATAAATATAATTTGTCTACAAACAAAATGAATAATCAATAACTTATACTCGTAATTTATTTTTGCAACATTCCGTCATAATAAATAGAGGACTCATTCTTGATTATGTTATTCATAGAATTCAATCATATACGTATATATCTTAGTTATAATGTACACCTGGTGTTAAAGTGTAAATTCACACCATAGAATCCCACCCTTCAAACCAAAACAAAGCTATGCCAACACAACCAGTGAAGACATCTAGTATTAAAAATATGTATTATATAGAAATGAGATTGAACAGTAATATTCATTGACGCTGTGCTCAATTCAATTAGCCAAAACAATAATAATCCATCAGCTATACGCGTGCACATCCAGTACTAATTGGACAACACGATTCACTTCTAATCAGCGGAATTGTTAGCGAGCGCGACACACTCGCTCGCACTAAGATAATTATCAACTTTAGTTGCATATACTATGTTAATATCACATCCGATGCCTACAGCTTCGGGGGATTACTTGTAATTAATATAGGGACTTTGAAATTAGTAAGCTTTATTATAATATTTAATCCCGCCGAGATGTCCTTTCACATTTCCGAATAAAGTTATAATGTTTTATATTGAGGGAGAAAGGAATAACAATCCCTTTCTCCCTCAAAAGTCTCCATTACTAACAAGTAATGGAGACTGAGAATCCCATTGCTAGCAATATACCCAACCAGGTCGACCTCCTCGCGGTTCCCCCTGGAAACTATCGTGGTTAATTCCTGATGAATTCATCATGATGGGCTATCTGGCCTGTTTTCATTCTCATCTATCACCCTTCACTGGTGCTCCGCCAGCGTATCCCGTTAGCGCAGGCGGGGTTACCATACCATTTTCACCCATTAAAAAAACTATCATGATTAATTCTTGATGAATTCATCATGATGGGCTAACTGGCCTGTTTTCATTCTCATCTATCACCCTTCACTGGTGCTCTGCCAGCGTATCCCGTTAGCGCAGGCGGGGTTACCATTCCATTTTCACCCATATATAAAAAAAAATGTTTTATATTATTATATGTAGTTAGAGGGAGAGGGAGACATTGTACAAAAATCGATTGCTCGAGTACCTCTAGTCCCATTCGTGTTTCTACCGTGAAGCAGTTGTGTTTGCATGGCTGTGTTTCGGTTTGAAGGGTGGGATATGACATGAATTTACAGGGTACAGAGGAATAACATCTGAGTCCTCAGGAATGGCAACGCATGGGGGTATCATGGGCGAAACAGTATACTCTGTTATGTCCATGGTACTGCTCAAGTCTATAGGCGACGGTTATCACTTTCCATCAGGTGGGCCGTCATTGTTTGCCATTCTAAGTTGTATAAAAAAAAAAGTAACAACGTAACAATACTAAAAATATATCAGTAGAAATACATGTAGTCAGAAAATATACAAGAGGCAGACAATAACCTCCGGTTACTTAATAAACTCTTATGGTTAAACTAGAGTGAAGAAATCACCTGACTCAACAAGGCAAGACAGAGAATCCTGCTCTGCAAAATCCAATGTTTAAATGTAATACATACAACCAAAACCGCAGGTTATATCTAGTTAGGTACTAAATAAATTGACCCAACCGAGAACTTTCTATCTAGTTAAATATTACTGTACTCCTGTACGAAGAGTTAAACAGTACAATGTTGAGACTGTCGGATTAGTTTATTTCAGTTATTTTCATATACTTATTGAAACTTGTTTATGATCGACTTTTGTACTAGAGGGAGACTTTGTACAAAAGTTTGCTTGGGTACCTCTGTCCCGGTGTTTCGGTTTGAAGGGTGGGATATGGCGTGAATTTACAGGGTACAGAGAAATAACATCCGAGTCCTCAAGAATGGCAACGCATGGGAGGTATCATGGGCGAAACAGTATACTCTGTTATGTTCATGATACTGCTCATGTCTATAGGCGACGGTTACCACTTTCCATCAGGTGGGCCGTCAGTTTGTTTGCCATTCAAAGTTGTATAAAAAAAAAATTTAAAAAAAATATAATTTTAGTCTGACAACATGTGTATGTAGATATTACATTTCTTATTGTATTTTGTTTCTCTTGGAATAATGTTCGTGACATATACAATATTCGTACATATGTATAAAATATGGTCTGAAAATATAGAAATTGTTGTCTCTGAAGATATTTATTCCCGTATGATCTTCTACAATATCATCTTATGTAATATTATTATAGGGTACAATCAATCAATCACTTATGTATCCAATGTATTTTTTATGCAAAACCGTGCTCTTCGCGCAATTTAATCTATGGAAAATCGTGAATCATTAAGAGAGAAGTTTAAAGAAGCAAATATTTTCGCTGTACCTTCACAATACATATACGCAAATATTTTTATAATTTTCAACTATATCTTATTAACAGTGATTTTAATAAATACAAACATGCTGTTCTGAAGTATCGTATTGAAAAAGTTAATAGGTCTTTTATGAGAATGGGCATTAAATGTTATAGAAGCACACCGATTGATATTTTAAATCTACTTTTTAATAAATTTAAAACTGTTATTAAGAAACAATAGGCTTTGTCCGTGTTATTAATGAGTAAATAATATTATATCCTAAACGATTACTTTAATGACAAACGTGCATGTGGTTAGTCGACCATACACGAGCTTTTTAATGATCATATAATTTTAGACACGGTACATTTCAATAAATACACATAATGTTAACAGAGATTTAAAAGAGTAACTGTTGAGTTTTTTGCGGGTTCTCCTCAGTAGATGACAACATTCCGAACCCTACAGTACAAGTCTATTTGAATAAAGTTGAATTTGAATTAATCATTTGGGGTTTCTGGGCCAGTTTTAATTATACCTGAAATATGAGCCTTGTGTTTTATTGGCAAAAAATATTGGAATATTAATACAATATCAATCGATTCTATTGTTTTTGATTGTCGTGTGGATTATCGTTATTTATTTCGTTTTGTGTCGTGGAACAATAGGGGCTTTATGAATATGCCGTCTACAATTCAGAACGAATATTAGAATTTTAATTATCCCGAAAAAATGAAGGGGCTTTATGTTGCTTGACGACTCTAAGTTCAGACAAAATCTCGACGGTATCAGCGTGTTATGTACGAAAAAGTGAAGAATATAGGGAATAAGAGTCCTAAACGAAACCTTTCTTTTTCTGTTTCGCTTTTTCCTCTCAAAGTCAGTTTTTTCTAATCTCGTAGCGCCATTTCTTTATGTTACAATCATTCTTCTCCATAAAAATCAACCATTCCAAATCTCTATAAACTTTTTAAAACCATATCGTTTCTTCTCCTTCCTCTTTTCTTTATATACATAAAAACTTTTTCTCGGCATGGTTTTTCCTTAACAGCAAATATCTATGCTGTCCCAACCTAGAATCTATAATATTATCAGATATCGGTGCAACAAACTTCCTCTAACATACTCATTTCGCACCGTCAACTCTAGTTAAATATGAATAGGCAGGTAGCAACTGGCCTGTTCAAGAATACTGCGTTTGATTGTAGCCGTGTATTTTTTTATTTTCTATCTTTTTATTAATATAAAGTTTGCAACAGTCATTTTATATTCATTTACATTTTTATTGTAAACTTAACTTGTATTTGAAAAAAGCAACAGCTGCGTTTTTGCTCATTATTCTTAGCTGTAATTGCATGCCGAACTGAGTGGTAGATTCATAAAAAATGTTCATAGGAATAAACCTACTTCAAATAATTATTTGAATTGAATAAACAAATTATTTATTATAATTATTATTAATAGCACCATGGATATTACAGAATACTAAGCGATCGTGAACTTGTTCATTACTGTTTCCAAAGGCTAAAATACTATGGCTCTGTACCTTAAAAAAGTATTGCTAACATGTACTTTAAATTCTATAGTCACGATCTCTATTCGCTCATCACTCCTCCTATTGGCATCATTAGTAACAGTGAAACCCGAAACTGTATTACTGTATGGTAGTGAAATATTGTCTGTGGTAAAAGTAACCTGTCTCTTCGAGCAGTCGAATGCAGTAAAATTCATCCGGTGTGACGCCCGCGTCGCGCGCTGCCTGCTGTGCTCGCTCCGGAACGTCGATGCGAGGATACGCAAACATGGAACCCTGCACATCAGTACCACCATTATATTACTTATAAAATAACATAATCCTGAATACAATTTGTCGAAAATTCCAAACGCACTGGCAGTATCGAGCCCCTAAATCTAAAGCAAGACTTTATGTATTCTATTTGTATAACGGATTGTGTTCTGAGGAACTGCTTAAAATGATACCCACAGCCACCTTTTATCATCACGTCGTTTGCTATCAACAAGGAGTTCATTCCCACGTTCTTGAACCAAAATGATACAGTGATTTCGGAGAAGTTTTCTTTCGCAAACACTCAAGCTGTAAAATAAGCTCCATACCGAAGTTGTCCTTGGAGATAACAGTATGGGGTTCTTAAAAAAGGGTGCAATAAGGTATCTTCAGCGCATGTGCCATTCCTAACGTTACAGACGTCCATAGGGTACAGTGACTGTTTACCGTTAGATGGGCTGTATGCTTGTTTCCCACCTTAATGGTATAAAAAGAATTGTTAATTTTTTCTCCACCTTAGTTAAGAAAACAATTGTTAATTTTTTTGAATTTTCTGAGAAGAGGCGACTAACGAACATAACATATCAGAAACAAGAGCATCGCAACGGCATCGCAGTCCCTATAGTAAGTCATCTAGGCAATGCGTTACGTTATCGCTAATATGGGAAGAAATCCGCCCCCAGCAGTGGGATATTAATAAGTAGTGATGAGTAAGCGAGTAGACACATTTATTGCCATGTTATCGAGAAAGTTTTGTTTCGAGTTTTCCTTGTCTTGCATTGATATATTGTTATACGGCGCTTTGTTATTTTTTCCTGTAGTTGCCTCTTATGATATTATGGGGATTAAAAAGAGGTACACTATTCTAACTCCGTCACACAAAGTTTAAATATTATTTTATATGATGCACCAACCTCAATGGGATTGCAGAAGTATCCGGGTATACTGTTGAAAGCTTCGTACGCGACAGCTGCCCTCTCGCACAGAGTACGGTGTATGTCGGAACGTTCCTTGATGAACTGCGGGTACGATGCAGACCCGGGAGTTGGAGGGCTCATCTTTAACAGATAACCTCAACATCAAACTGTGTCTCTATAATAGAATAGTATAAAACAAAGGCGCTTCTGTACGTTTACGAGTACATCTTTCAAATTATGCTACGGATTTCAATGCGGTTTTTATTAATAGTCAGAGTGATCCAAAAGGAAGGTTTATATGTACTATATAATGCATGCATGTTACAGATAAAAGTCGTACAAAGCCGGTGCGGGTTGCTAGTTTTCTAAACGAACGTGGAGACGCTTAGAATTGCAAACAAGCTGACGGCCCATCTCACGGAAAGGGGTAACCATCGCTCGCCTACAGACAGCTGTTGTTCCGCATAAGTGGCATCAGAGAGTATATTTTTATTTCAGCCGTTAAATGTCCGCTGCTGAACATAAGCTTTCCCCATAAGGGAAGTTTTGCCAGTAGTTGCCACGCTTGGCAGGCGGGTTAACAACTACAGTTAGGCATTTAGAGATGTTTTAAAAGAAACGTTGCTGTCCATCCATCGCCCTCCTTTAGTTGCCTCTTACGACATCCACGGGAAAGGGAAGGGTGGCCCATTTTATACCGGAGAACACACGGAGAATACATTACTACACTATAATACCGCTCATGTTTTGTCATATACTTGCACGTAGGTTTTTTTTAATGGGTGATAATAAAATGTTAACTCCATCCGCGTTATCGATATTTTATTTATTTATTTAATAAGGTTCACATACAACTTTTACATTTTACATGCAACTTAATAACACAAAAAATAATTTTGCCTAATGTAAAAATCTTTTATACGCGAACACTACATGCACTATTATAATATTTAATAAATCATTAACAATAACAGTAACAGTAAAATTATCTGAATAATAAGTAATTATGAACTTATGTCTAAGATTTTCCGCAATAAGCTATATCTGCTGTTGGTGGGTCCAAAATTGATGTCAATTTGATCGCTGTGAGCATTCAGAATCCTACACAATCTGGGTACAGGCGAGTTGGCTCCTAACACTGTTCTTCTTAACGGAGGACATAAAGGTGTTATCTGTTTCCGAGGTATTCTAGAGGGAACACGAAAGTTAAACAATTGAAGCAATGATATACACCGGCGGGGCACCAATGAAGGATGATAGGTGAGGATGAAGCAGGTCAGTTATCCCATCGTGACGAATTTAACAAGAATCGTTCACGGTGGTTTCCAGAGGGAACTACGTGGAGGTTGACCTAATATGGCATATTGCTAGCAATGGGGCTGTCAGACTCCATTACTAACAATCCCATTCCCCCCAAACTAGTACATAGGTATCTTACGCATATTCCGCTAATTGAGAATCTTAGATTGCAGCCCATAAAACTTGCTCAGATATATCAGTTACGCTTTGTCGCTTAACATCTCATGTACATCATGCGTCATGCGTTATGCGTACCCAGAAATTTCACTTCTCTCTTTTTCAACAGAATTCTTAGTTAAGACCCATGTTGCCATATTATAAAAATAAGTTTCTTTTCTAACCTTATATTATTCAATGTTATCCACGTGTAAATATCTCGCGAGATGTATATTGCTATTTAGTATATGGAACGGGCTGACCTTTCACGTCGATATTTGAGACCGTACTTGCGTCCGGCGCCCTCTCGTCGATCAGTAGCAACCCTTACATTGATTAAGTAATCTATAAACTACGACAGTAAACCCTTTTTATATAAATAACATACTAATGTTTATCATTTTTTTGTTTGCATTTCGGACTCATCCACGCGGTCATAGCTGGAAATCGGTGTTTTTCTCTTTGAGTTAAATTCCACACTGAGCTTTGAGCCTTTTTGCATTGCTGAGGCACAGACGTGTAAGCATATTTGTAATCTATATTTTGTTTGTTGTATTGTATGTTTTAAAATTTATTTGTAATGACTATTGTTGACTGTATTTAAATTATAATTTGATGAGTGTGCTTTAGGTGCAGATACTTTTTTTACCTCTTAGATAATTAGATTCTAATCTGGTAGACACTCCTAATAATTAGATTAATTAAAATTGTCCCACAACGAAAAAAAAAACAAACAGATTTCAATTAAAAACTAAACTACTAAACCGATTTTGATAAAAAATCTATGAAACTAATTTGTAAGTATATCCTTTTAGATAAACAAAAAAAATCCAAATCGGTTTACTACTGACGAAGGTATGAGGTAATTATCATAAAAGAAAATACAACCTCACTGAAAACCTCTTTTTTGAAGTCGTTTAAAAATTTATTTCCATATACACGTAAAGAATAATTACAGTATTAAAAAAAAAAACATTTTTTACGCTGAAAGAGATACGAATTCGGAGTAGAGTAATTTTTTGATGCTTTGGAACTATACGGGCTGACGATCTGTTTGATGAAATATGGTATCTTTCACTTATAGCAAAAAAAAAACTGTCACAGCTATGGTAGTTCTCATGCATTGCCATTGCCACGAATTATATCTCCGCATCTAGTAATATTACGGCGCCTATCTATCTAACTGAAATACAACCAAGCTAGTACAGTTATTTCACAGCACAAATACGAGCAATATTTGAAACATTGTCATATTCACTCGTTTTAAAAAATATTCGAACAATCATATTCCTTTGGAGTTCTCCGTATTTACCCTGTAAGTCTTAAGGATAGATATGCACATATCTCACCACACAATGTAGGACACACTGGCCCAGCACGCTGGGGCACTGCAGGATGGTGCGAGCGGCCCTCAACGCTGTATCCACCGCCGGCTGCAGTCGCAGCAACTCCACGTAGGCAGCACGCATCCCGGATTCCGCCGCCCAGCCTTTAGAGCACGTCACGAAGCTCGCCAGCTCCATTTGCGAATACGGCGGGCCCATCTCGAACATAACCTACGATTTAGAGTGATTAATTCATAAATTTTTTTATGCAACTTAGGTGAGATATGGCAGTGAATTAACAGGGTACAGAGGCATAATACTAGTCATTTGGAATTGCAACACATGGAAGTATCATGGGCGAAACAGTATACTCTGTTATGTCCATGTTACTACTCATGTCTATAGGCAACGGTTACCACTTTTCATCAGGTGGGCCGTCGGCTTGTTTGCCATTCTAAGTTACAGAAAAGAATCTGAAACCAATCAAACAGAAAAAATTCAAGACATTATTATTTTTAGCTTTTATTACTCTTATTAAGATCCCTCCCCCATATTTTTTTTCTTAAATATCACTTATATGCAGACATCGTCTATTTATTTATAGTTAACTGGACAATAAAATCTGTACAAGTGGCGAGCTTTATTTCGTATAGCATTCTCTACCAGGAAAAATAGAAGTTATTTGATAATAATGTAAATATAAGCACTAAGAAGAACTACGCTTCGCTTGTCACTACCACAGGATGGAGACAGGCCAGCGGCTGCTAAATTGTAATAATAGCAAGTGCCGCACAGCCTCGCCGATATGACCCTAGAGAGACCAAACTACTAAGAACCTGTTCACAATCCAGACGCCGAACAAACAAGACCCGAGGCAAATTAGGAAACTTTATGTCCTAAATTAAATTTCGTCTCCTAAAACTTGTTGGTCTGTTTATTTTGGTTATTGTTCTAAAGCCTAAGATTGTTTTGAGTTTGAGCTCGAACTATATACGCTATACGCTTTACAAATCTAGTACACATAAATTCAGTTTACAATATTTCCATATTTTTATTGTTTTTTTTTTCTTTGACGGCTCACAGGCGGTATCGAACCCTTAAATCTTAGGAGAGATTTTGCCTCACTCTACGTGTTCTACCGCCTGTACAATGGATTGTGCTCAGAGGAATTGTTCAATATGATGCCCACAGCCACTTTCTACCATCGTACGGCTCGCCATCGACAGGGAGTTCATCCTCATGTCCTACAGCCTCAATGGTCGCGTACTGCGCGGTTTCAGAGATGTTTCCTCCCACGAACACTCAGGTTGCGGAATGAGCTCCCTGCCGAGGTTTTCTCAAGAGACTACAGCATGGGGTTCTTCAAAAGGGGGGTAAAGAGGTTTCTTCAGGGTAGGCAACGCGCGCGTAATACCTCTGGTATTGCAGACGTTCATAGGCTACGATAACCACTTACCATCAGGTGGGCCGTATGCTTGTTTGACACCTCAGTGGTATAAAAAAAAAGATGATAATGAAATGGCAACCCCGCCCGCGCTATCGGTTTACACTGGCGAGGCACCACAGTGGTCAGACAATGGCCGAGATGATGAGATGATGAAGACAAGCTCAATAATAACACAAATAAAAAACAGATTAATTGATTGAACATTTTGATTTGTTACTAATTTCATTTTCTTTTTATTTATTTAACACTTTGTTGTATCAATGTTACATAAATTGTTGATGGATTTTAAATAAGTGTAATATATAGAGAGAGTTTATTTGATAACTATTTTGTAATATATTTACCAGAGGGAGACTTTGTACAAAAGTCGATTGCTTGGGTACCTCTGTCCCATTTGTGTTTCTACCGTGAAGCAGTTATGTTTGCATGGCTGTGTTTCGGTTTGAAGGGTGGGATATGGCGTGAATTTACTGGGTACAGAGGAATAACACCTGAGTCCTCAGGAATGGCAACGCATGGGGGGTATCATGGGCGAAACAATATGTGTCTATAGGCGACGGTTACCACTTGCCATCAGGTGGGCCGTCAGCTTGTTTGCTTAATAAAAAAAAATCACAACACACGTTGGTCACCTTATTATAGCGATTTGTTAAAATAGTTTATAGTAATATATTACAGAATACTTGTTATATTAATACTAATATGCCTGACAGATAGATACATAGACACTCTTTATTGTTTCCTCCAAAAGATTACAATAGTAAACTTATTATAAATATAAACAATTATAGACACACACACACACACACACACACACACACACACACACACACACGCATTATTTGTCGTTATATTTTTTTAATAAACTAACAAACTGATTATAAGATAAATTTAAAAAAAAATCCGATAGAAATTGTTAGCGCCGCCGTAATAAATTTGACTCCATATGAAATGGGAATAAGCTAGGGGCAAGAACAAGAGCTAGAGAGAATTAAACCCGAGACCTAAACTACATAACAGAATTTCCAAAATGTTGATAAGTTGTAACAGTGAGTTATGTCAGCGGTCGTGTTCCCGATGGGGCGGTAGAGGGCGCCCCGGGCGGCCGTGTCGACACGGGACCCAATGATAACATCGCTAATACCACAGCCGCGCCCTACCAAAACAATCGACCAGGAACTAATATTTACGGATCATACAAATCTTCATTTCATATAGGAAATTAAAATAATCCACGGGAAAAAACGTGATAACATAGCATTCAATAAGAAGTTGGACTTATTGGTCCAACTTCTTCGGCTGTAAAGTTGTTAAATAGTTAATAAAAGTTTGTTAAATATATGTGTATATTTGTCTATCTATATCGTATATTATATTTATAGATGAACCAGTGGAAGACTGTACAAAATTCATCTGCTTGGGTACCTTTGTCTCATTTGTGTTTCTGCCGTGAAGCGGTTTTGTTTGCATGATTGTGTTTCAGTTTGATGGGTGGGGTATGGCAAAGAAATTACAAAGACATAAATTTAGTCCTCAAGAATGGCAACGCATGAGGGATATCGTGATTGACAAAGTGTACTCTTTTACGTCTATGGGCCGTCAGCTTGTTTGCTATTTTAAGTTGCACAAAAAAGTGTATATAAGAATAGATATCAAACTGTAACAAACCTAAACAAAACCATGCAAACACAACTAGTTCACGGTTGAAATACGAATAGGATAGAGGTACCCAAGCAAACGACTTTTGCACAAAGTCTCCGTCTGGTAAAAACTAGCCATTCTATAAAATAAAGAAAAGGGCAATATTAACCAATTTTTAGAAGAAGTCAAAATTTTTATATATAGATATCTGTGATTGTTTGTTTATCACTACATAGTCACTTCCCGTCTGTCTGTCCTTATGTATGCTTACATCTTTAAAATTACGCAACGGATTTTGATGTGGTTTTTTTAAAAGATAGAGTTATTCAAAAGGAAGATTTATATGTATAATACATGCATAATATAGTGGAGAAACATTGATAAATTTAAAGGTTTCTAATGTGATATGAAATGTGATTAAATATAGTAATACTACGAGTATTAGTATAACAAATTTTATGTTTATAGATAACAAAGAAACTCATTTTGACTCGTTTTGAAAATCATTGTACGCAGCCACATACGCGGCGCCGTGACAGTGAGCCGCGGAAATCACGAAAATTCATGACGTTTACGTAACTGCAACGATAAACATCGGTGTGCGAGTGACAGTTTCATTACATTGTCCATGCATAAATAATTTACTGCACGTGTTACTTATTAAAATTTTGTATACGTATGACATGTGAGGTGCCTTACATAATATTTATAACGCGAGAGTTTTTAAAAACCTATTTAATGGTGGATCGCTGAGTGAAACTGAGGTACAGAGGAATAACACGAGAGTCCTCAGGAATGGCAACGCATAGGGGGTATTTTGGGTGAAACAGTATACTCTATTATGTCCATGGTACTGCTCATGTCTATAGGCGACGGTTACCACTTTCTATTAGGTGGGTTGTCAGCTTGTTTGCCATTCTAAATTGCATAAAAAATATAAATGTATACCTAACATAGATTTTTTTTTTTTTTACAACACAGGGGGCAAACGAGCATGCGGCTCACCTGATGGTAAGTGACTACCGCCGCCCATGGTCACCCACAACACCTACGGCATTGCAGGTGTGCTGCCGGCCATGTAGACATACGTAGACATGTAGCTCCGGTCGTCAACAGCTGGACACAGCTGGTTGCATATAAGTGGATACATATATGATATATGATATATATATATATATATATAGTATTATGTAACTTTACACGAATGTTCGCGTTGATTTTCATCTTTTATAAACCATAAATCATTGAACACGAAAATCTAAAATGCTCCGATGGTGAATTGGTCAACATTAGCACGATCATTTTAAATTGTCTTCGAGAGACTGTTTGATTACATTTTTCGTGGGCGCTCGCGTAATTGTATTACAAACTCTTCCGGCTTGATTGGATACTTATATAACTGTATAGATACAATTAAGGTTAACAACGCCCGTTCCGCTCCGCGCCGACACATACAAACTCCAGCGAGCCACTAATCCCGCCAGATTTCGGAGGCTTCCGAGTTTGGAATGACAGAAGGATAAATATGGATGAGGGTGTTTGTTTTGCCAATCGAACGCTACAAACTATACTTCGTGATACTCGTCTCCAATTTAAAACATTTAATATAAAAGATTTCAATCGTTACCGAGTTAAGCCTAATTTCTAAAAATAATCTTCCAACAGCGTCCCTCTTAAAACATCTCCAAAGCTTAACTGTGGTTGCCAATCCGCATGCCGAGCATGGTTACTACTGGTAAAACCCCCCTATTTAAAGATATTGTTAGTAATGGATTTTAACTGACCTATTGTCAACAATACACCCTATCATGTCGACCTCCACGCGGTTCCCCCTGGAAACCATCGTGGTTAATTCTAGTGGAATTCGTCACGACGGGCTCACTGACCTACTTTCATCATCACCTATCATCCCTCACGGGTGCTCCGCCAGCGTGTACCGATAGCGCAAACGGTGTTACCATTGCATTATCACCCATTAATTAGATATAGTGCTTCTAAGCCACCTGCGTCCACTGACTCTCTTCACACCTTTAAGGATGCTCGCTCCATCTAGTGGCATATACAAATAACCTATAAAATTATTATGAAGATTCTTCTCATGGAATAACCTTCCCTATATTATGATTCGCTCCTCTGAATCGCATGTCACTGAATAAATAACATAGCTGATCATGTGATGCTAAACGTATTGAACTCTCACGCTTGATTTGTTGATTTCTCTTAACTTTATTTCCTTAGAGAGTTAAGCTTATCCGAGCGATGTTAGCTGCGAGTGACTCAGTAATCGAACGATGTGTGAACAATTTCAACTGTGTGTAAAATCGCAAATTTTTAAATAACTTAGTTTAATATAAGGCCAACAAGGCAGTAAATCCTTTCGATTGGTGAAAAATATCAAAAAAGCTTAATAATTAGTAAAGGTTACTTAACGATTCACATACAAAAATAATTCTCTTTTTGGAAGTCTTTTGCAAAATATGTAATGGCAACACGCTACGCAGTGTTCTTTAAACTTTTAAAAACCACGAACGTCTTTCAAACTGTTCATGTAAAGCTGATCTCGGCAAAAGACAACTATTGTAGAAAGAGCATACGACATTAATTTCAACAAAATTATTTTAAATACAAAACTTTTTAATTATAAAATAATCATGCAAATTGATCCTTAATGTGGAAGAAACCGGTACACAAAGACTCTCGAACACAGTACCTTTTACAGAATTATATTAAAGTTTAACCAGAGGGAGACTGTACAAAAGTCGATTGCTTGGGTGCCTCTGTCCATTCGTGTTTCAACCTTGAAGCAGTTGTGTTTGCATGGCTGTGTTTCGGTTTGAAGGGTGGGGTATGGCGTGAATATATTGGGTACAGAGAAATAACGCCTGAGTCCTAAGGAATGGCAACGCATAGGGGTATCATGGGCGAAACAGTATACTCTGTAATGTCCATGGTACTGCTCATGTCTATAGGCGACGGTTACCACTTTCCATCAGGTGAACCATCAGCTTGTTTGCCATTCTAAATCGTATAAAAAAAAGTGTAGAAAGTGTTCTTTAGAAGTAGTAGCGTACCTTCTTGAAGGAGTGGAACGGCTTGCTGATTATGTTCTCCTGGTACACTTCGTCTGCGATCAGGAACAAATCGTGTTCATAGGCGAATTTTATCACCTCTTGTATATTCTCGCGGCTTAGTACCTATAACAATATAATATTATTTAAATTCATTGTTTAAATCAGATAAACAAATAGTACATTACTGCAGCGGCCAGCAACTGAGGCATTGATGGACGAACGTGCAAATGTGGGCCGAGGCGAAGCCGAGGCACACATACGTGAGTCCATCAATGCCTAGTTGTGGCCAAGGCTTGTATAGTACTTTTCTCAAACAATGCGCGGAAATCAAAAACATAATTTTACTTTTTAAGTTCAATGACGAATAACGAACAATAATTTTTCACGCGCCATAATGTTCTTTTGTTTTTTTTTTTTTTCAATAAACAGCTTTCTATTTGCAAACCAGTTCGAAATTTAAATAAAACCTTTTATTAGTTACCTCCTTGGTAGCCATGTTTCGAAGTAAAAAGTCATTCCATTTTTAAATTACAGGACAGATATGAGTTTACATAGTAATTTATCTGGTCGCAAAACACGACAGATATGGATTTTCATACAACTTTTGCCGGCCGCTGCCCGCATGTATCTGGCCAGTACGGCAAGTTTGATTTATCTCGAAGAAGATTGTCAAAATAATGCTCACATTTCCAAGCATGTTTGAGAAAAGGATATTCTATTCTATACATTTAATGTTAAGTAATAAAATAATAAATGTTGTATTAAAATACAATATTACGATTTATTAACGATCGAATCTCTTCCCTATACGAACACAATAAGATTTAACTTTGTATACGCTACACGAACCCTTAAAGTTGGAATGGAGACTATAAAACCGTATTTACGGGTTGGTAACGATTACATGAGAATCTATAAGAATATTTTATTCAAATCCAATTAAAACAAATAATTTATTCAGAGTGTTGTCTGACCATAGATATATATTACAATAGATAGCGTATCTATCGGTATATTATAACAACGAAACGTTACTTAGTTTTTTTTTTATATATATAAAAGAAAATACGAAGTAATCTGAATCGTGAGTACTGACATAGTCTACCTATCGTATAAACATGAATAACGCCATGGAAATCACATAATATATTATGACGGCCATGGTACGCCTCATGTGTTGCTGAGATGTCATCCATTGACTTAAATCAAAACACAGTCATGCAAACTCAGCTACATGATACCAGAAATACGAGTGGACGAGAAGTACACTACCACAGATAATATACTATGTATCACCACACCATTTAAGGGAACAAAACACAATACAACACTGCAAAATATCTTTAACAAACTTTAACTTAATATATCTATAAACAATGTTTAAATCGCGTACAACCAAGTATAAATAGAGAAATATTATGGGGCTCCATGCCTAGCAGTGGACACCACTGACAATAACTAATTTATTGATTACTTCACATTCGGCGTCAAATAGCTTCGTCCTCGTCGAACGAACGTTGATAAATCTGAATAGTCTTTTTTTATAAATTATTAAACCATTAATTTTATTACAATAAAAAACAAATGTAATGAATGTTTTGCCGCTGTCCAAATAAACTTCTGCTTTCTTATGATTACAAATTAACTTGCAAATTTATAGTTCAGTTGCGACATCTGTTTACAACCATATCTATGTGAAGGGAAAGGGATTTTTAGTGATGGAGACTGAGAATCCCATTGCTGGCAACATACCCAACCAGGTCGACCTCCTCGCGGTTCCCCCTGAAAACTATCATGGTCAATTCCTGATGAAATCATCACGATGGGCTAACTGGCCTGTTTTCATTCTCATCTATCACCCTCCACTGGTGCTCCGCCAGCGTATACCGATAGCGCAAGCGGAGTTACCATGCCATTTTCACTCATTAAAAAAAACTATACCTATGTATTTATATTTGTAATTCCAGCAGTACATTACAAAGGAATATAATTTGTTCCACTAAAAAGTAGCTATTCTCTTTATCATCACTAATATTGTAAATGTAAAAGTGTGTTTGTTTCATAGTTTTCTTTTCTCTTGGTAGCTTCAACTAATCCAAATTAAATTTTGATATACACATAATATTTGTGATGGCCTACATAGTTTACATTTTATTTAAATCAATTATCGTAGTCATGCGGACGAAGCTGTCGGTAAAAACTAGTATTTTTATAACTATTATACTCTGTCCCATTCGTGTTTCTACCGTGAAGCAGTTGTGTTTGCATGGCTGTGTTTCGGTTTGATGGGTGGGATATGGCGTGAATTTACAGGCTACAGAGAAATAACACCTGAGTCCTCAGGAATGGTAACGCATGGCGAAACAGTATACTCTGTTATGTCTATGGTACTGCTCATGTCTATAGGCGACAGTTACCACTTTCCATCAGGTGGGCCATCAGCTTATTTGCCATTCTAAGTTGTATAAAAAAAAAACTATATTAACTTTCATCTTGACCGCTTTTTAGCTTTTAGTCTGGTTTAAAAAGCATCTTCTATTCTTATGAATATATTATATTAATATTTATGAATGTGTATGTTATGTGTTTGTGTATAAATAAAATTGGCTATGTATAAAATTTTGTCTATTTTTTTTTTGTTTGTAAATTGTCACCGCCCGTTGATACTCATGCCTGTTTCCACTTTAGGTTTATTAAAAAAAAGCAACTCAGACTCGCTCGCCCTTGTGCATTTGTTTTACACTATGTATTTCTATATATTGCATGTATATTAAAACATACCTGTCCCGTCGGATTCCCAGGATTAATAACAACGAGTGCGCGGACATGCGCAGTCTGGCTGGCCTGCCGCCAGCTCCGCGCCAGCTCCTCCGTCTGCAGCGCCCACCGGTTGTCCTCGTCCAGGTAGTAGCCCGCTTGCTGCACGCCCAGCTCCGACAGTGTGCCCGAGAACAACGGATACTGGGGTATCGGGATCATCACCGCTGTTGGTCATTGGGATGATTGAGAAAAAAACAGAATAGAATTGTCCTAATAATGTAGTTCTATAGATGAAAACACACACAGCAGTCTATTGTGGAATGCTCCTGCTCGGCTGTGAGCGGAAATAGATGGAGACACGTTGCGAGGACCTCAATCACGAAGAATATATAATTATAGTGGATTGTCGATGAGGCTGATCGATTGGTTTTTTAACCTACTATTATAATTTTATTATTATTAATTGAATAAATAGTTAATGTAATGTTAAGTCTGTATTAATATATATTTCTTTTCAGTTACATGCTGATATATTGGGAGAAACATCAGGCGATATGTATTAGATATAATGTAACTTGTACCCAATAATAATTTTGTATGCTTTAGAATATAAGGCGACCATTTGTACTTTACAATAGATCAATATCTGTAAAAACAATGTTCTGGCAAATAAACAAATGTAATCTAATCTAATCATAAAAATTATGGCCACTCTGTCAAGAGAATGTGGCTGTAGAGAGACAGAGAGAGAGCGAGATAGGTGAAGAAAATTTTAAAATTGGTTAAGTAATTTTTGAGTTTATCCATTACAAATAAAGTAGTGATGCAATGGAAGGAGACGACGTAATAGATTGTGTGATAGATGATATGCATAAAAATAACAGACAGAGATCTCTAAAAGAATAACGTGGAACCATGTGTCTTTTCAAGCAAATTTTAGATCACAAAGTTAATATGCGATTAAACTCTATTGCAAAAAGAATTAAAATCAATTTGGAACTGGCAACGTCGCAAATAGTCGCAAAATATAAACGAATCGTAATAAAAACTTTTTGTGGACGTTTCAAAAACGGTTTTTAGAATTTGAAACGTGCAAATGAACGCTTTCGTGTGATTCTTCACTTGAAATAGTAGCCTTAAAATTCGAACCCACTTTACGGACCCTCTTAGAAAAGAGAAATATTTTTTCAATTTTTTCTTTGCAATAACTTTGAGCCAGCGATACCTAAAGCCACGTATAAAATATATACTTTCGTGTATATTTTGACTTTTTATAATTTCTTCTGAAACTTTCGACCCTCTTTTTAACCCCGTAAAATTACGGGGTCAAAAAGAGGGTTGAAAGTTTAATGAAGGATTTATTTTAATAATGGTCCGAAGAACTTAGAACTTGGTGAAAATTCTTCGATATATATATTTATTAGCTGCGACTTTGTCTGTATGACCGTTATACATTAATAATTTTTTGCATTATTCATACAAAATCGTTGAATAATATGAGTAAAGATGTGATATTAGATTTACGTTTTGCCTATTTTAGTATAAATTCTAAAGGCCTTTACGTTTTATCTACCTACTTGTACTAATGTACAGTCAATTAAAAGTTTATCTGCTAACTACATGCCAAGCCATTAGGTATAGTACTTGGCTCGCCCCAGATTGAGTTACTTAAGCGATTGTTGAGCTTCACTTTGTTATTTACTAAATTAACATGCGCCTCCTCACCGCACCAAGCCGATAACAGGTTCATGTGGCGACCGACTTAACTGTCAATTTGATATCGCCCACGGAATAACCCTTGTTAGGTTACAATTTGGTTATAGCATTAAACAAAAGGGTAATGTAATATTGTTGAACCTTTTTGCTTTAAATAGAAAATGTTAAAAATACGTTACGAGTTTAACTCTATAGACTTATTTTTATGGTATACGAACTTTGCCCATGACTCTGTCCGAATGACAGGAACCTATCGATTGCCCAGAATGAAATTTAGCGTATGTTATTCTACATAGTAAATAGTTAATTTCACCTAACCACTAAGACACCATGAGATAACATGAGCTGTAAATGGAGTAAGAGAGTAGGGATTTTTAACAATGTACTTTATCAGGTCGACCTCCACGCAGTTCCTTTTAGAAACCATCGTGGTTAATTATTGCTGAATTCGTCACGACGGGCCTACTGACATTTTTTTTACAACACAGAGGGCAAACGAGCATGCGGCTCACCTGGTAGTAAGTGACTACCGTCGCCCATGATCACTCACAACACTAAAGACATTGCAGGTGTGCTGCCGGCCTTTTAAAAAGGAATATGCTCTTTTCTTGAAGGTTATGTTGTCGTATCGGTTGGAAAATACTGCTGCTGGAAGTTGATTATAAAGAGTGGTTGTGCGTGGGAGACCCTGCTTCCATTTCACCTGTCACCCTTCACTGGTGCCTCGCAAGCGTATATCGATAGCGCAAGTTGAGTTACCATTCCAATATCATGCAAACAGAAAAAAACAAGAACTACAAACCCAATTGGCTACTCGACTTTTATCCGCGTGATTAAAACATTTAATTGAACATAATACAAAATACTATATAACTTTCTATTCTTAATATATGCTATGGGGGGGAAAGGAGTTGTTAGCAATGGAGTGTGACAGCCCCATTGCTAGCAATATGCCCTATCAGGTCGACCTTCACATGGTTCCTCCTGGAAACCATCGTGAACAATTCTTGTTGAATTCGTCACGATGGGCTAACTGACCTGCTTCATCCTCACCTATCATCCTTCACTGGTGCCCCGCCGGTGTATATCGATAGCGCGGGTGGGGTTACCATTCCATTATCATATCCATAAAAAAGTTGTGCTATATATTTCGTGACGATTTGCTAAGTCGTTAAGGTGTTAAACAAACAGGTTCACTCGTGCCAGTTTTAAATTAATTATAAAGTGTTTACCTCCGCGTCGATCCCGTACTAATTTGTAAAGATTGAATTCATTTCAAATTATGAAATTTAACGTTTCATCAATTGTCGCGGTGAGTATTGTCGTCGCTACGAAGTAATATAATAACATTACAGTAAACTTCATGCTCTCAGCTTCGTTAAATACATTAACTTTTTAACAAACATCCTTCCCAGACTTTTATTGTTTTCGACAAATTTTCAGACCTTATTTGTGCACGCGCCAGTCTGTTTTAAACTTAATTCGAGTTGAAAACTTTCTGTTGGTGTATTAATAAACAAATTGAGTACTAATTGGGTAAGGACTCAGTTACACCGTACTCTGCGTGGGCTGGTGACCTCTCCATCGGCCTACACACTAATTTTATTTAAATAAATTACATAAGAATAGGTCATTAAATATAAATGACCTATTTATAGACTACGGATGTGCTAAATATATATATTAATATATCCGCATTTAACTGTTTATTTAATTTAACACTCAGGTTATGAAATGAGCTCCCTGCCAAGGTTTTCCTAAGCGACTACAGCATGGGGTTCTTCAAAAGGGGGGTAAAGAGGTTTCTTCAGGGTCGGCAACGCGCGCGTAATACCTCTGGTATTGCAGGCGTTCATAGGCTACGGTAACCGCTTACCATCAGGTGGGCCGTATGCTTGTTTGCCACCTCAGTGGTATAAAAAAACTGTCCACTGCTATACATAATCCTACCTTTTAGAGGGGTTTGCCAGTAGTTGCTACGCTTGACAGGCGCATTGGTAGGCTTTGGAGATGTTTTAAGGGGAACGCTGTTGCTCATTTCCCCACCATAAGCTCTCTTAGTCGCCTCTTACGACACCCATGGGAAGGATGGCCTATTCTATCCAAAAAGGAGGTTATCAAATTGATTGTATTTTTATTACGTTTGTTACCTCTTAACTCCACCACCACCAGAGGGAGACTTTGTACAAAAATCGTTTGCTTGGGTACCTCTGTCCTATTCGTGTTTCAACCGTAAAGCAGTTGTTTGCATGGCTGTGTTTCGGTTTGAAGGATTGGTATGGCGTGAATTTACAAGATACAAAGGAATAACACCTGAGTCCTCAGAAATGGCAACGCATGGGGGGTATCATAGGCGAAACAGTATACTCTGTTATGTCCATGGTACTGCTCATGTCTATAGGCGACCACTGACATGTATATGTATAATATGCTCAATAAGCTTAAGATTGATTAACTTATTTAAATCATTTAATTTGCACAATCTTTTTTTAGAACCCACTAGGGTCACAGGAAATTCTGAAAAAAACTTGTATAGATAATGTTTTTTGTAATTGTGAAGTAAAGGTGAAAATGAATTTCGACTGTCTTGGATCTGATCATTACGGACAAAAAGTTATAATTGAAACTAAGGGATCCAAAGGGACTCAAACAATTACATGCAGACAAATAACACAAAAGAATTTGGCACGTTTTAAAAATAAAATTGAACATAAAATATCTAGTGTCATAGTACTCAATATGACGGACATTGTATGTGAACATATTTTTAATTTAATTGAACATGAAGCTAGCAGTGAATTTAAAACAAAAACATTTTCAACTAGTGTAAAATCAAAGTTTTGTGACTGGGCCACGTTTGGTATTTATAAGTCTAGGGCTAATCTTTACGAACTTTACGAAAAACGAAGCTATATATCCGATCCCTTATTTCATTAACATGTAAAATCTTATTCTAAAATATTTAAAAAGGTTTGTCATACAGCTAAGTCTCTCTATTTAGGTAAAATAATAACTAAATCTAAAGATAAAATAAAAGCCACTTGGAAAGTAATAAATAGCGAAACTGGAAAAGTTAATTTTCAAAATAGCAAAATAGCTTTAAATATTAATAACAAATTGGTAAATTCCGATACAGAGGTCGCGCATACATTCGAATCTTATTTTACTAATATTCCATTAATTACGACACAGGCTCTAAAATCTTCCCCGTCTGCTGCTGAAACTTTACTAACAGACAATGTTAGCAAGTCATCAGCTGTATTTAACTTTAGACATACATCATCAGTAGAAATAATGAAAATATTCAAACAGCTTAATAATAAAAAAACAGAGGATCTATGGGGTATATCTGTTAAAATACTGGATAGTATAATGGAAATTATTGCGCCCTCTCTTGCTTTTATTTTCAATAAATGTATAGATGAAGGTAAATTTCCTAACATAATGAAAATTAGTAAAATCATATTTTTAAATCTGGAGATAGGAGTGACCCAATAAATTATAGACCTATATCCATACTCCCAGCACTCAGTAAAATTTTGAAAAAATAATCCTTATGCAACTTGTCAGTTATTTCAATTTAAATAATTTAATCCACAATAGTCAATTCGGTTTTTCCAAAGGTCGTTCAACTACAGACGCAGGTGCAGAGTTGCTTAGACACGTATTTGCTGCATGGGAAACTAAAATGGATGTGATAGGTATTTTTTGTGACCTTTCTAAGGCTTTTGATTGCGTTGATCATAATACATTGCTAAAAAAACTTGCTTTTTATGGCGTCAAAGACAATGCTTTAAATTTAATAAAATCTTATCTATCTGATAGAATACAGAAAGTGAAGATTAGCAACGCTACGTCTGACGGGTCACTTGTGCAAATGGGTGTACCTCCAGGATCTATTCTCGGTCCATTTTTATTCCTAGTTTACATTAATGATCTCCCATATGCCATGCAGGATAGATGCGGCATAGTATTATTTGCAGACGATACTTCATTGATTTTTAAAGTTAATAGAATGACTAATAATTATGACGATGTAAATAGTGCTTTGCGGCGTCTCCTGCACTGGTTTACAACTAACAATCTTATGTTAAACCCTAAAAAAACAAAATGTGTTAATTTCTCTCTGTCTAAAAGTTTTAATACTAATTGCAATATTAAATTAAATGACGAATCTCCTCGAATTTATAGAATCTACTGTCTTTCTAGGAATCACACTAGATAATAAAACACAATGGGGTGCACAAATATAAAGCCTTGCAGCGAAACTAAGTTCAGCAGCTTTTGCCGTGCGTAAATATATATAGTACACTGATACTGATACTGCTAGATTAGTCTATTTTAGTTATTTTCATAGTTTACTCTCTTATGGAATATTACTATGGGGAAAAGCGGCAGATATTAAGAATATATTCATATTACAAAAACGTGCCGTTCGAGCGATCTACTGTATGAAGAGTCGTGACTCATTAAGAGAGAAATTCAAAGAGGCAAATATTCTCACCGTTGCTTCTCAATTTATATATTCAAATATTATATATGTTCATAAAAATCTTGACTTATTTACAAAAAACAGCAATATTCATAATATTAATAGTTGCTAGATTTAAAGACAAACTTGCTGTCCCCAAGTATCGTTTAGAAAAAGTTAATAGGTCTTTTATGGGAATAGGTATAAAAATTTACAATAAGATACCAAAGGATATGTTGGAATTACCCTTAAATAAATCTCAAAACATCTGTTAAATCATATTTACTGAGCAAAGCCTATTACTCACTAAACGATTACTTGAATGACGAGTGTGCATGGCAATAGTTGTTCATGCACTGAATTTTCATTTAATGTTAGACATAGACACCTATATAAATATACATTGTAAATAAACTGGCTTTAAAAAAAAGTAATTCAATTGAGTTTCTTGCCAGTTCTTCTCAATTGGATCTATATACCGAACTGGACGGTAGGGAAAAAAATAAAATTATATGTAAAAATTTGACGTTCATAAGCGGCTAAAATGTCCTACATGAATAAATGATTTTTGAATTTTGAATTTTTTGAATTTTATATGGCGTGAATTTACAGGGAACAGAGGAATAACACTTAAGTCCTCAGGAATGACAAATGGGGGGTATCGTGGGCGAAGCAGTATACTCTTATTATTTATTTATGTCCATGTTACTGCTCATGTCTATAGGCGACGGATACCATTTTCCATCAGGTGGGCCGTCAGCTTGTTTGTCATTCTAAGTTGTATAAAAATATCCATCAACTGTAAACTGATTTAGGAAATTCTTTTTTTTTATCTGAAAGAATATATTTACAAATAGGTCCCGTAAAAATTTTACCAAAATCGGTTCAGTAGGTATAAAATAACTAGTTTTGCAAAAATTTTTTTGTAAAACACTTTCTTATAGAAATAATTAACATATTATAAATAAATAAAGTTAAAACTGAATGTGTTTTTTTTTTCGTATTTGGCATTATATTTGTCATATTTTTTTTTAGTTTAAATTAATCTTTAATTACTGGTATTATTTCTCAACGATTAAGTTATTTCTCTAATTGTTTTTGTGAGTATACCAATCATGTATTAATCAAAAAAGCCATGGTTACCTGAAGGTTTCCCATCGATGTCTTGGGCAAACAATGTGAGCACTGCTTTGATGAGATCCGAAGCTCCGGCTCCCAGGAGTATATCATCAGGAGACGCAGGCACACCGTCCCGGGCTGTCAGATATGCTGCCACTTGTCTTCTCACCACAGACAGGCCTGCTGGTGGTGAACACGCGCCCACAGTTCCACGCCTGTGACAATTTAAAAAAAAATACTTATTTTAAGAGATGAATACTAATAATAATATATGAGCATACTATAATTCAGATGAATTTGTTTTTTTAAGGATAAGCAAGCTGAAAAAGCTATGGTCTGGTAACGTAGCTCTAAGAAACGGCAACTGAATGGGAAGAAAAGTTCTTGAGTGGCGACCCCATACGGGAAAAGACAGCGTAGGATGACCCCCCCCCCCCCACTAGATGGAGTAATGACTTCAAATGTATTGCAGGGAGTCAGTGGATGCAGATGGCTCAGGAGCGTTCCTTATGGCAGTCTATGGGGAGGCCTATGTCCAACAGTGGACAGATAATGGCTGATGTTGATGATGGTTTAAAGGAAAGGAATAGTAATCTCGACTATCCTCTTGCTAGCAAACATACTCTGTCGGGGGGAAAGGGATTGTTAGTAATGGAGACTGAGAATCCCATTGCTAGCAATATACCCAACCAGGTCGTCCTCCTCGCGGTTCCCCCTGGAAACTATCATGGTTAATTCCTGATGAATTCATCATGATGTGCTAACTGGCCTGTTTTCATTCTCATCTATCACCCTTCACTGGTGCTCCGCCAGCGTATCCCGTTAGCGCAGGCGGGATTACCATACCATTTTTACTTATAAAAAAAAACATACTCTGTCAACTCGACCTCCTTGTACATTATCTTGATATAGTGATCAATTGACCATGCTCTATCTTCACCCATCATTGCTACCACATCGTCGTAAACTGGGCGTGATAAATTCCATTTTCTTCCATAATAAAAATATTTCTAAGTCAACCGATTCGACTGCCTTCGCTTAATCAAATTCGGATACTATAAATGTCGAGCGAGCCGCATAAATCAGGCGTGATGCAATATCAGCCATAAATTAATCACGTCAAATCACGCTCATGAATCATTTATCATCGATATTGGTTAATGAGCCGATGGTTCGTAGGGAAAAGTAGGGGTAAAGAGAGCGGGGGGGGGGGGAGGACGGTGCGTGAACGAAAAGTGCGAGGTGTGTAAACAAGAAGCGGTAATTAGGATCGCATTAAGTGACTCGTGTCCACTGTATTTTATCACGGTACGGTTATAGTTCAAATTAGGATATTGCTTAACCCAGTTACTACACTGTCAAGAGTGTTTATTTTATGCAACTTAGAATAGCAAACAAGTTGACAGCCCACCTGATCGAAAGTGGTAACCGTCGCCTATAGATATGAACAGTACAATGGACATAACAAAGTATACAGTGATACTCATGATACCCCCCCATGCGTTGCCATTCATGAGGACTAAGGTGTTATACCTCTGTACCCTGCAAATATCATTGCCATATCCCACCCTTCAACCAAAACATAGCAATGCGTACACAATTGCATCATAACAGAAACAAGAAAGAGACACCGTTACTCAAGCAGACGATTTTTGTACAAAGTCTCTCTTTGGTAATTTTTCAGGTGTTCCTTGCAAAATTTAAAAGAATTTTAGGCAACAAATAAAAACAATCTTAAACTTGTATAATTTTTGTCAAATTTCATAGCATGTTTATAAAAATATTTTTTTAATATTTTTCTATTTAATTATAATAGTGTATTTATTTCATAAATTTACATTGCTGTTTTCAAATTTGACCCAAACGTGATAGTGGATAAGTTAATTTGTTAGTATTATTTTTTAAATTCCGCTACCAAGATTTGGAGTTCTGCAAATTAATACGTCAACCGATAAAACATGCAGTGGACACAGGCACAGACATTAAGTTTTCCTTTTCTAACATTTGTACGTTTCTTTGTCAGATGTCGATACGGAGAGCTCTGTCATTTCCTGGGTTCAAATCCCTTGTCGTTTATGACACGCATTCTTCCAATTACGCCGCCCCTCCATTGTGCACTAATTGAAAGGCCTATTTTTAAAAATCCATACATACATATATACAGTTAGCTAACAATAGTTACCTGTATGTTGTTGTGTTTTTAGTTCCACTTTCGTTACGATTTCTCTTTCTCCTTTCGAGAATTTCATAAGAAATAAATTAATCTTAGGAAGTTTGCATAGGAAAACTTATTTCTATAATGTCATAACTTATAATTTAATAATCCCGTAGTTAATTTCTAGCGAAGTCTTCACGATGGGCTCACTTTCTTTCATCCTCACTTGGTACTCATTGGTACTTTGTCAACATATGCTGATTATGCAGTTAAAGTTACCATTCCATTTTCATCCTTAAAAACATGTCAAGTTGCATGACCAGTAATTATTAAACTAATATCCCACTTTTATGGGAAGAGACTCGTGTGTAGTAGTGCATCATTAACGGGTTATGATGATTTCACTTCCAATATTGGCAAGATGCATTCAACCGTATGTGAAGTAATGAAAAGCTCGAAATTCTTTGTACTTCTTTACTGATAATTCATTGAGACAAATGTACACATTCGATTTATATTTATTTCATTTGCAACTTTAGTATCTACATTTAGCAGCAGAATTGTACTATTTCTGTAAAGCACAACTTAAAATAATTGAGCTACAATAATATCGTCGACATCGTAACTCTTGATCAATAATACTGCAGACACCTCTCATTCGCCACAAAGTCAGACGAATTTATCTGTAGCATCACCATTGCTACAAGAAAATATTACAAAACCCCTACTTCTTGTATTATTCAATACACTTACGTGCAGTCAGCTAGGATCTTCCTGGCACGCTCCTTCGCGTCATCTGGGATGTCAGGACTTGACATCAGCTGAGGACATGCCGCCAGTGCCACCACCTGATAAAGAAATCGATTTGATAATTCAATTCCATGTATTTATGCAATTTTATACTTTAAACTGTTATTTTAGTACTTATAACATATTCAATACAACAAATGTTCAACAAAAGTCTTAAAAAATTCTGTTCTGGCAAAGGACAGAGAATTTTTTAAGGATGTTTCATCATAGACAACTACTGAAAAGAATCTATTTTTATTTCTTATCTTCATTCAATACGTAGTAGGCTCGGCTCTTTTTTGTTCGACAACCTTTCTGATCGAGTTACAGAGGCGTCCTGATTGATTTGCGCCGAAGTCTCGTGCACTCTCCGGGGACACCTTTACAATTGTTCGGAAACAAAGAAATTCCTCGGCCCTTTTAACTGGGTTTAATACTCGGCTTATTGTTGGATAAATGGTATTGACCTCAAACAGCTCGAGTTTACTGGACTGTGATGAGCGCGATGAATCGTGTAAATAACGTGTTCAATTCTCGATTGAATCAACTTTGTTGTGATGGTGGAAAGATGTCATAGGGAAAATCATGTTTAAACTCTCTTTGTATAAAGCCATCGTCTGATAAACAAGACAAAAGACTTAGATATTCGCAAGACCAGAAAATACTATTAATAAAATGAACACAAGAATAACACTAGCTCTTGGCAAAAATATCAAGAAAGCAAATATCAGGCATGTAATCGTATCTCAGTCAATTTCCAAAATATTCATTTTTTATAGAACTTAGAATGGCAAACATGCAGACGGCTTACTTGATCAAAAGCGATCAAAAGCCATATACCTACAGTGAGCTCTAAATACTTCAAGTCCATACCCAATAATTTCGCTCCCATATCGTTTAGATGACTTTTATATTGGGTTTACATAGATCCAATTAAGCAGACCAGTCTACTTGTACAATGATAGGACAATAAAGTATTTCATTCCAATAATTCCACTGACGTCATGAACAAATGATGCCAATATTTTATTTTTTTACATTTTTTCTGAAATCACAATTCTGTATTGTAAGAATACTATTCTCTGAATTCTTTCTCTCTCCGTATTATTAACTTACAATGATGCACCTACCTGTCGGATGAAGGTAATCGGCTTCTGTCCCAAGGCTTGGCAGTCTCCGATGTTAGCACGCACCACGCAATCGAATGGCTTGCGAATCCCCTGCATCAAACATTATACTATTAATTTTTTTAAATACAGGCAGCAAATGAGCATGCGGTCATCTGATGGTATGTGACTATCGCCGCCTATGAGCACGCAGGATCATAGGAATTACAGGTGTGTTGTCGACCTTTAAAAAGAAACATGCTCTTTTCTTGAAGATTACGAAGACAATGATGGAGCAGGTATGTAGGTACTATTAACCTGTAAAAGCTTTTACATCGCGTTAAGACCCGATTATGTATTTTAAATATGTGTAAAGAACGCGAAAGTGTAAGTTTAACCAAAATTAACTGATTACGACGTAATGTCGTAATTCCAAAATGTAGCTGCGTGTGAAAGAAAGTGCTTTGAAAAGTATATGGTACAAGACCGCCGCTCATTCAAATAATGAAAATTTATTTGTGACGGGTTGTACGGTAGTATAATATATTATGTCAATATAACAGAAATACAGCAGCAGGTATCAAACCGAATAATTCCTTAGAAACATTCCCCATCATACATTCGATAAAAAATGCATAGAGATGCAATGTCTCTGCACAGTTTCAGTGGGCAAAGTCGGATACTAACATTAATAATTCGAGCTGCCTGACTGTATTTTTACTATTAGATTTTCATACACTGGAGGAGGACTACGTACGAAAATTTCTTGAAGATTGTATTTCGGTTTGAGTGGTAGAATATGGCAGTGAAATTACAAGATATGCAGACTTAATCTACAATAATAGCAACACACTTGCTGTCCATTTCTATAAGTGACGGTTACCACTTTTCATTAGGACAATCATTAACTTATTTGATATTCTTTACATTAACATTTAAATAGTCAAGTAAAAAAAATTATGTGTCAATGAACAAAAACGCTAGATCAATTTTAGAACTTTTCTGTTATTCAACTCTCAATGGGTGTACTCGAATGATACGTATAATAATATTATTGATGATAACCTAATTAAACATCTAGGCCTTAGTAAGAGGGCCTGCGTTAAAATCTCCATATCTCCTTAAATATATATATTTCAAACATGCTTGGAAATGTGAGCATTATTTTGACAATCATGTATATGGACTCACGTATATGTGCCTCGGCTACGCCTCGGCCCACATTTGCACGTTCGTCCATCAATGACTCAATTGCTGGCCGCTGCAGTAATGTACTATATATATATATATATATATATATATATATATATATATATATATATATATATATATATATATATATATATATATATATATATATATATATATATTATTAATAGGGCTCTTACCTTCTTCAGGTATATCAGCCCTATTGTACCCTAAAGTGATTTCTTAAATAAAGTTTTATCTACTTTCCCTAGACACGAGAAGAGAGGAATCAATGGGCATCAATATCATCTGATTTAGGTTCAGCTATTGATATTTTAATCTCCTAAATATATACTGTTAGTAATGGATGTATATAATTTAAAATCTCTCAATTTATTATGTACATTGAATATAAACAAATAAATCATTTAAATTTTATTCCGGTGCAGTTTTTAAACCCATTTCAGGTCAACGGTCGGTGAGAATTATGCAATATTTAAAATTTAACGCCAGCCAGTGGTGAACATTTATATTGATATTCGTATGTACGTATGTTGGAGCGCACGACAATTACGTGCGATCAATAGTTAATTACGTTTCGTTATTGAATAGGTGCTGTGCACTCATTGGAATTCACAATTATACGCCGGCGACAATATATCATCAGTCGTCACACGTGTTATTGGAACTAATGCAAATTGCAATACATTCGTTTGCAACATCATTTCATTTCATTTATTTATTTTGTGATACATAGGTAACAACGGATGGTAAAACAAGATAAGTCGTTTATATCGAGGTAACAATCAAATTCGCAATTATATAAGAAAATATATATAATTATATATTTCTTATATATATATATATAGTGCAGTAAAAAAATCTGAGGCATTGATGGACGAACGTGCAAATGTGGACCGAGGCATAGCCGAGGCACACATATATGAGTCCATCAATGCTTAGTTGTGGCCAAGGCTTGTATAGTATTTTTTTCAAACAATGCGCGGAAATCAAAAACAAAATTTTACTTTTTAAGTTCAATGACGAATAACGAACAATAATAATTTTTCACGCGCCATAATGTTCCTTTGTTTTTTTTTTTCAATAAACAGCTTTCTATTTGCAAGCCAGTTCGAAATTTAAATAAACCCTTGTATAAGTTACCTCATGCTCACATTTCTAAACATGTTTAAGAAAAGGAAATTTATTGCATTCATCTCCAAGGAAATATATATAATAAAATATCTTTATTATATCATCATATAATAGACATTTTTATTAATCAACATTTATATATTTCCCGGGATTATTTGTATAGATTATTTAAATAGATTTTTCCATTGCCGTGTGATCCCCGTATAGGATAGGTAACCCCTTCCTCTCCCGTGGGAGGACAGGACAGGCAGCAACGTCCCTCTTAAAACATCTCTAAAGCCTAACTGCGGTTGCCAACCCACCTGCCAAGCGTGGCAACTACAGGCAAAATCCTCCTAGGGGGAGGCTTGTGTCCAACAGTGGACAGTTAAAAGCTGATATGATGACGATGATTCCTTTCTAGTTTTAAAGAGCGACGTAACAAATAATTTGTGTGAAGGACTCTATAGTCATTATCATCCGCTAACTGTCGACTGCTGAACATAGGTCTTTACCTTCGGGAGTTTTGCCAACCGCAGTTAGGTTTTTTTTTTGATGGGTGAAAATGGTATGGTAACCCCGCCTGCGCTAACGGGATACGCTGGCGGAGCACCAGTGAAGGGTGATAGATGAGAATGAAAACAGGCCAGTTAGCCCATCATGACGAATTCATCAGGAATTAACCATGATAGTTTCCAGGGGGAACCGCGAAGAGGTCAACCTGATTGGGTATATTGCCAGCAATGAAATTCTTAGTCTCCATTACTAACAATCCCTTTCCCCCACCGCAGTTAGATTTTGGTGATGTTTGAAGAGGGACACTGCTGCTCACCGACCGTTAAATTCCCATAATCACCTCTTATCACAGCTACGGGAACAAGAATTATCAAAACTGGTTGTATCAAAATTGATTAATAGCAAAGAGTCCGTGTAACATACACACAAAAAGAAATATAAGCGAATGATTTGTACCATCCCTTCTTGAAATCACATAAAAATTATTCCCTGTTTCAAAAACGACACTTTAAAAACTTATACGAGAAAGTTCACCATCGTGTTAAATTATGTAGGACACATCCATGGCATTCTACACGAGTGTCCGTGGAAGCCATTCGGCAGCAATAAAATTGTTTTACTCTCTCATATTTTATAGAAACAAACGACGGTTGCGGCCATTACAAGCGCCGTGAACCGCCGTGGGCCCCATGGGCCGCCACTGGCCGCGCCATCGACGCATCCGGAGTCAGGATGCGATTCATTGTGAACGAACAACCCAGTGCACTTTACCGCCTTTTAGATTTACGTTGATATGGTTACGTGGAAACTACATGGAATGAAAATACGACGAAAGAGATGCGCAATGTGGATTTTTTAAACACAATAAATAATATAAAATAAATCCCCCTAAGACAATAACCTTTTTTCTTTTAATGGATGATAATTATATGGTAATCCCGCCTGCGCTATCGGTATACACTGGCGGTGTACCAGTGGGAGATGAGGATGAAAGCAAGTCAGTTGGCTCATCCTGACAAATTCAACTAAAATTAACACGATGGTTTCCAGGAGGAACCGCGTGGAGACCAACTTGACAGGGTATATTGCTAGTAATGGGGTTTTTGACCCCATTACTAACCCCTTGGGGGGAAAGGGATTTTTTTAATGAGTGATAATGATATGGTAACTCCACCTGCGCTATCGGTATACACTGGCGGGACACCAGTGATAGATGACTGATGAGGATGAAAGTAGGTCAATTAATCCATCCTGATGAATTCAACTAGAATTAACCACGATGGTTACCAGGTGGAACCACTTGGAGATCGACCTGACAGGGTATATTGCTAGTAATGGGGCTACTTGGCTTCATTACTAACAATCCCTTTCCCCCCCGTAAAGGGATTGTTAGTAATGCGGACTACTAGTCCCCTAAAACAGCCATGTAATCGATGTCTGTTATAGATACTGACCTCTTTTTCATTTGTATATTATTGATTGATTGATGTATACTGTACAGGCGGGGTTACCATTCCATTATCATCCATAAAAAAATCGCGGTTAGGCTGTGGTGATGGTTTAAGAGGAACGCTGACTGTCCCTCGACCATTAAATTCTATTAGTCACCTATTACGGCATCCACGGGAAAGGAAGGGGTGGTTCTTTCTATACCGGGACCACACGACCATATATCCATATCATAGTCATGATTAATTTATTTATTTATACGTTTGCACACATTAAAATATGTCTACAGGGCGGACTTGATGCCTGATAACATTTTGAACCAGTCAATCATTTATTTACAATATTATTTATCTAATACAATGTTTTTCAATCTTTTTCATGACGGACTTAGTATATAAAAAATGGAGGCATTCGAAACCATGGAACAGCGCCGGTTTCGAATGTGTATGGATTTTATAGAACAATTATGAAATGTACAGTTGTATTTATATTCATAGTTAGGTATTGATAAAATAAAAGAAATAATACGTAATAAAGTATCTAAAACATATGTGTAATCGATGTCTATAGAATGGCAAACAAGTGACGGGCACGCTGATGGTGTTTTATTGGCAATATAATAAACTTTATTATTACTAGCTTTTTTTTACAATTCTTTTTCTATTCTCTAATTTATATTACCTTTTCTCAAACATGTTTGGAAATATGAGCATTATTTTGACAGTCTTCTGTCTGTTATAGATACTTCATTATGTATTATTGATAGATTGATGTATTTACGGAACTGTTGATTTTTCAATGCTTCGCGACCTTCCGCGACCCCCGTG